CAAAAATCTGATGCATTCTTGACACCCCAGCCATGTGAGAAGTTTAAATAGAAGAGTCATAGTCCTTGTAGGTGTGGACAAAAGTAAAAACCTATCTCAAAAATACTGAGAGTAAAAGTGGACTGGGAGTTTCACACTTCTGGTAAAGTGCCTACCTAGCAAGTACCAAGTGAGTTCAATCATCTGACTACTACATAAAGATACATTCATCATTTTCAAAAATAGTTATGGCTGTCTAGAAAAAGGACATAGAAGTGGAGGATTTTAGGAGATTGCTAAGTGACCATTTCAATAAATACTTTTAGATTAATTAGAAGTAATTAATAAGTAGGAAAGCAAAAGAGTCCTGCATTTCTAGCCCCTTAGGGATAATTATTCTCTCATGTTCAGAATATAGAGTGACTGAGAATCCTGGAGACACAGGCACACCACATACACATATACATGTACAATTATGTAGACATACATGATATAAGAAACTCATCATGACTAACTCTGACTTGTAAAATTTCCAGAACAAATCTTCAACTTTTATCCATTTATTTAGTGAGTTAGTCATTCAACAATGTGTTATTTATCAAAAAATTATTTTCCATTCTTCCCAGAGTGGCTATATACCAACTATGAACTGTAAAACAACCAAGAGCATTACTCATATAGAATAGGTTACATGAAACTCTCTGTGGTCTATGGAGTCTGTATAATGCATTGTCGCTGATAATGCTTTCACTAGCAGGGTAACCTGATAAATACATGAATAAAAGTAAAGTCGTTTAATAGAATTTTCTATAGCACAGCAGTCAGTCCTTCTGTCTCTTGGATCTTCTCAATTATTGGGTTTTGAAAGGAGAAAGGAAAGCTGTATGGGTTGAATTCTTACACTAAAAATATTGTTTGATAAATTCTTTTCTTAAGATATCTTCATGTTAAATTCCAACAGGATATTCTAATACCCTCAGTAGTCAAAACTTTCCCTGTAGAATTTTAGAGGATTTTATAGCCTTTGTCAATATGAACGAAGACAGAAGTCATGAAAGTCATCACATACTCTTTAACTATTATAACCAAGACCATACAGTTAAAACATTATTTTGTAAATAACTGGTAAATACAACATTTTAGTTAAGTATATTTAAGGGACTAACTCTTCTATTCTAATTGCATATGATATATAAGGTCATGCTAAAACTTCTTAGAAAAGTTAGGATATTAGCTAAAACTCTCCTTTACATTCAGTCCTGACCAAACTTTAAAACATTTTCTAGACACATAAGCATTTCAGAAACTTTTTTTTGGGGGGGGTAAGTCTTGCAGCTTGAACATTAGGCCTGGGTGCTGTCCCTGAACTCTTGAGCTAATGGCAAGCAGCCAGCACTGTACTACTTGAGCTACAGCACCACTTCCTGTTTTCTGGTGGATAATTGGAGGTAAAAGTCTCAAGACTTTCCTGCCACGGCTGGCTCTGAATTTCAATCCTCATATCTCAGCCTCTGGAGTAGCTAGGATTACAGGCATGAGCCACTGGTGTCAGACAAACTTTCCTTTCTCTCTCTCTCTTTTTAAGTACTTTTTTATTGTAAAAATACTGTACAGAGGGGTTACAGTTACATGAGCAAGGTAATGAGTACCTTTCCTATCAAGCCTTGTTACCTCCTCCTTTGTTTTTCCCCTACCATTCCTTCCCTCCTACCTCCACAACTATATTTCCCCCCCTCACCTCCCCACCTAAATTGTAAAGTTCGTATTTCAACATAGTGTCTTGTACATCTCATTGTTACAATGGGTCAGCCTGTATCCACATTTAAATATTTTGTTTTTTCCTTTCCCCTCCCCAAGCTAAAGAAGTGTGTATCCAAGATGCAGAGCACCGACCTCAAATACAGTGAAAACAAGGGTTATACCATGGGGGTGGAACACACAAATAAACAAAAGTATCACATGGTACATTATAAATAAAAAAGCATTTGTCTCCCTGTCTTGGGGTTCATTTTGCTTAACACCATCTTATCTAGTCATATGTACATAGCTTTTGATCTTTTCTACTTGTCCCAAACATATACTAGTTATTGCAAATAAGGGAAACCATGGGACCTATGTTTCTTTGGGCCTGGCTTACTTCACTAATACAATTTTTTCCAAGTCTTTCCATTTTCTAACAAATGGGGCAATGTCATTCTCTCTGATGGAGGCATAGAATTCCCTTGTGTATATATACCACATTTTCTTGATTCATTCATTTACTAAGAGGCATCTGGGTTGGTTCCATATCTTAGCTATGGTAAATAATGCTGCAATAAACATAGTTGTGCTGGAAGCTTTAGTATGGTCTTGTTTGTGATCATTTGGGTAAATGCCCAAAAGTGGGATTGCTGGGTCATAGGGAAGCTCTATGTGGAGTCTTTTGAGGAATTTCCATATTGCTTTCCAAAGTAGTTGAACAAGTTTACACTCCTACCAACAATGCAGTAGGGTTGCCTTCTGACCACATCCCCTCCAGCATCTGTTGTTATTAGATTTCTGGAGGAATATCAATACCACATTTTAAATTCTACTACAAAGCCATAGTAATCAAAACAGCTTGGTACTGGCATAAGAACAGACCTGAAGACCAATGAAATAAAGAAAGACAGCCTTTTCAGTAAATGGGGCTGGTAAATTGTTTAAATACCTGTAGAAAACTAAAATTAGATCCTTATATATCATCCTGAACCTTATATATGAACTTCAAACGGATCAAAGACCTTGAAATCAAAAAAGACACCCTGAAAATATTACAAGTAGGAATCGGAGAAACCCTAGGTCTCCTAGGCACAGGCCGAAATTTTCTCAATAGAGCCCCAGAAACACAACAAATCAAGAAAGGTTGTACAAATTGGATTGCATGAAATTGCAGAGCTTCTGCATGGCAAAGGACATAGCTAGCAAGATCAATAGAAAGCCCACAGACTGGGAGATGGTCTTCACTAGCCATACAATGGATAAGGGTCTCATATTTCAAATATACTTGGAGCTCAAAAAATTAAATCCCCCAACAACAAATCCTCAAAGAAACAACTGCTCCATAAATAAGTGGACTAAAGATTTAGAAACTTCACTGAAGAGGACATAAGAACGGCCAATAGACACATGAAGAAATGCTGAACCTCTCTAGCCATGAAAGAAATGAAAATCAAAACATGTATGTCCCTCCCCCACGGTGTAACCCCTGTTTTCACTGTATTTGATGTTGGTATAATTTGTGGAGGGGAAGGGAAAAGACACATTGTTTAAACAGGGATACAGGTGGACCCATTCCAACAATGAGATGTACATTATGTCGAAAAAAGAACTTTACAACTTTGGTGGGGCAGGGGGCGGGGCCGGGGAGGATGGGAAGTGATGGGAAGAGGAAACAAAGGAGGAGGCAACAATGCTTGCTAAGAAATGTACTCACTACCTTTCCCATGTAATTTAACCCCTCTGTACAGTATTTTCACCATAAAAAAAAGGCAGAAAAGAAGAAAGAAAGAAAAATAAAGAACAACACTGAGATTCTACCTCACTTTTCTTTTTCTCATTGCCAAAATTTTATGTGGGTGAATATATGTGCGCTTGTGGAGGGGGAAGGGGTTGGGTGTGGGTGAGAGAGAGAGAGAAAAACTCATCTTTATAAAGATGAAGTTTAACTTAAAGTTTAATTTGAACAAACAATTACAGAATCAATTTTAGAAAAGGTTTTAAAGTACAAGAAACAAGAATTAACAAGGAGGGAGCCAAGGAAACAGTGATATTCACAAGACAATATGTTGGAAATGATCTGTACAACTTGGGAGGGGAACTGGGAGCAGAAAAGTTGGAGAAAAATGAGGGAAAGGGTAACAAGTGTGACAAGAAATGTACTTACTACATTACTTATATAACTGTAACCCCTCTGTACATCACCTCGTCAAAAACAAAATAAGAGAAATTTTAGTATACCTAATGTGCTTCTGAAAGAATAAATAAATCGATATCATTATTACCTACAACTCATTTCCCAGGTTTGTTTTCCTAGATCTAGGAACAACTCCTAGTGAAGCCTAAACAAATCAGCCAGGCTCCTGAAACTTCCAGGTGAGACAATAGGCCTGGTTAGTGCCTCTTGGTGAAAACAAGTTCAAGTTCCTTCTTTTACATAAGCTCTTCTTCCCTGTGACAAAAGTATTATCCTGCTCCAGAAAGCCATTGATAAGAATCCAAGATTACAAAGACAACTCACCACACTGTAGGCAAAATTAAAGCATTTTCAAATGAATAGGGAAGCATGCATGATCAAGTTTCAATTTAGGAGCAAAATTAACATAGGAAAAAAAAGCCTCTAAATGCAAATTACTTTGAAATAACCTTTTTGTATTGTTCTATCTCCAAACCATTATTTTCATGGGACACTGCTCATTATGCATTTAAAAATGATCAATGAATTCTTAAAATGCATACATAAAACAGCCACCATATGTAAACAACATAGTAAACTAAGTCTGACTGATTTACAAACATTTTCCTGAGAATATCACATGGTTATTTCAGAAGAAGTTTAAATGCCAGTTAAAAGCAGGCCAAAACAAGCCACTTCTAAGATTTTTGCAATTACATTCCACACAAGAAGTGATGAGTAGGAAAAATAAAAAACTTCATAAAAAGAAAACCAGAGTAGTAAATAATAACCATACCATGAAAGTTATTCACCATTTCTCTATGTTATTCAATAATAAAACTTAAGAAAACAAAGTGAATACGCAACATTATACTGCAAGTCAGACACCGAGTATTAATTATGTATATCCCATAAAATACTGCATTAAATCTTTCGTTGTTGCCAGAAAATTTAAAATTCAGAGAGGAGAGAAATCAAACTGGAAGGGAAATAATCTCCATAAATTAGCAAAGTAAAAGGTCATTTGCTCATAATCAGTGGAGGAAATACATATACATGATCCAAAGGAAGCAGAAAAGCCCTCGCAGATTTACAGGCAAGGTCTTACCTTGACAGGTACCATTTTTCTCTTCATATCCCGCCTTGCACATGCATTTTCCAATGGGCACCAGCCACTCCCCTTCTGCGCTGCAGTGCATTTTGGGAGGATCATCTGTCACCGAATGATTGACACAGGAGCCTGAAACCTCAAGCAACTGTGAAGAATCTGCTCCGGTGATGGTGTCAGGGAAGACGGCCAAATGTCGTACCACGGATGGGCATTTCTTATAGTATACACGCACAGAAACCAGAGCAATGCAAGCACCGACATCTTGGAAAGCTAGATAAAATCCCTTTTTGCTCAGAGGCCCCACATCTCTGACCTCTGTGTTCAGTTTCATGACTCGGTCACCAAGATCAAGTTCTGTAAAGCTTTCATCCGCAGCAATGGTATCAATTTTGATATATTGGTTTTCCTTCATGTTTCTCCCATTCTCATCATCTGACTCAAAGTAATACATGTTAAATGTTTCCTTGCAGGTCCCCAATCCTCCAGGAAGACTGTTGCAGTCTCGCAGAGTAAATTTGAGTTCTATGAAGATTCTGGAAGCACCTTCGTTGGAGATCCAACTTGTCAAAAGCCAGTTATTCTGATTCTGTTCCATCACCTTGCATACTTGGTATGTGTGAATAGGGGCATAGTTCTCATCAACTTCACCAATTTCTTCCCACTGTACAAGATGAAAAGAAAAGAAAACTTTTTTTAAAAAAATACAAAATAATCCTGAAATATTGCCAACACCACCAATGGAATCAAATTTCTACATGGATATGTCTCTTTGACAGTTGAGAAAAATGACAGAATTATAGAGAGGATTTGGAAAAAACATTCACATAAAAATAAAAAAAAATTTGATTCTGGAGATTGAACATAGGGTTTCAAATATACCAAGTTTGTATGGCATCACTCCTTTCCCAAGAAAGTAAGAACACACTCATTATCTTCAGATTAGCTTGCACATAATTGCATACAAATGGTATGTCTCTTATGGGAAAAGTAGTGCATTTCAGAGAAAAAGTAAATGCAAGAAAAAAAAAAAAGAATGTGGTTGAGGTAAACAAGAACGGAGAAAGGAAAATAGGTATATTTGGGTGAAAGATAAGTATATAAACAAAGGATAGACACTAGATTTCAAACAGTGTTCATTAAATTTCAAGCTTTAGTGTTTGTAATCTGCATTCTATGGAACTATTTGGGGATGGTGGAACCTTGAAGGAGAGCTGAGTGGAAAGCACTTAGTCACTATATGACACTATATGACACTCTCGCCCTTTCATTTGTTCTCCTTTTGGCCATGAGGTGAGGTAGCTTTACTTTACTACACCTTCCTGAAATTAAATGCTACCTCATTCAGAACTACAAACAAAAGGACCAATTGATCTAAGCTTAAATTCTCCAAAACTTTTAAACCAAACAAACCTTTTCTCCTCATAACCCACTGATCTCAAATATTCAGTATAGTATCAGAAATCTGACTAGCACAGGACACAGCTTTAGAAGAAACAATAAAGATAAAATAAAACAAGAAAAAAAAGTGAGAGCAGCCAGCAAATGAGGAAAAGAAAAAAAATTGCACGTGTAAACAGTCATTTATTTAATCCTGTCATATTTTAAATAGCATGTCAATGTAATAAATATTTGAAAGAGAAAGCATTAATTTAAGCCAATAATGCATCATTATTTAATTGAACTCATCTTTTCAGAATATTTTTACTAATTGGATAGCTAAATATTTATTCTTGGATTGATCTACAGAGGAAGATAAAATAAAGTCAAAAATTTTAGATTTATAATATGGGTCGTTTTGTCATTTGAAATATAAATTGACTTCTTTCTTCTTATTGGTGCATTATTTGATGCATAGTTATTCTCATATTTCTGAGGGATATAAAAGTAACTAAGTAAGATTTATATAGCTTCCAATGTATAATTTGTTCATCTCAGATTTGTGAGCCTATTTATTTCCTGGTAAAATACTTAAGCTATGAAAAACCCAATATCCCTTTACTTCTTGAAAAATCTTAGAATCAATGTTTTACTCTTCATGAATATGTCCTTACAACTGAAGTAATTTCCTAAACCTGTATAGGACCTACGTGCATTAAACTTGATGTACTTTGTTTTAACTCATTAAAATCGTCCTGTAATAACACTCTGCAATGAACCCATATAGTTTTTCAGTAAACTGAAAGTGTGTGATTTCAGACTTATACATAAAATAAGATAAACTTTATAGAACCTGATTTCTTTATGCATGAAATCTTCTGTTTTGTTCAATTAGTGAAATGTATACAGGGGAGGCACTAGGGATGCAAATAAATCTTATACCCCCAATGGCCCTTCTTAAAACTCTAGCTGCCAACAGACAGGCTTAAGCAAAAGGTGCTAATGAGATAAAACTGCTGAGCTCCTTAGATTCACAAGAGAGAGACATTAAGATTTTATCTTGCCTAACAACTAGCACATTATGGTGTTATAAGAAGCTTTAGTTCTTTCATCTAATCTCATTTTGTCTCATCTCAAAATATTTTAGCTTCTGATTTTCTAAACCAGTCCTCTATTCTATCATTTTTTAAAAATTTAACAACTTATGTTTTCTTCCCTAGTGATTTAAGTAACTGTCTCTTCAGTATATATGGCTCCTATTTGTCATGAAATCTATTTAATGCCAAAGATTACCTCAACTAACAAAATAAAGGCAGGAAAAATGATCCACTTATTGTAACGATGATAATTTTTTTGTATTAGGAAAAAAGAAAGCAGCACCAAAGTTCTTCTCTTAAAAAGTTAAATAAAATGTTACATTATTTGTTTAAATATTTGTTTTATCTTAGGGTATTATTTGGAAATAAAATACAAATGAATTTTAAATCATTTGCCTCAAGTCACTTACATAAGACTCATTTCCACATCACATGATCCAGTATCATCTTTCTAGCAACTAAAAGCAAGCAGAACAGCAGTGTCCTCCAAGATTATATGCCAAGAAATTCAGAGTTTTCATGTGTACAAAGTCCACAGTAGCGCAAATATTACTAAAAATTCACACTAAGCAATCTTTGACAAGAGGGCTTAATAGTTACTTGTTAAGATGACAATTTCAAACCAAATGAATGAACATCTTGCTCACAAAATTCTCAGTTAATGAGATAAAAATGCAATTTTCAATGTGCAATCTGCTGTAGTAAAGTTTTATTTATTTATTTTCTTTTCAGGACCTCCTACCCCCCAAAATATTAAAGATTACATTGTATATTTTTTTCTTTTATTTTTGATCAGGATAAGATTTGAACTGTATTGACTTGAAATCCTTTAAAACTCAGCTACCAAAGTAGGTAAGATTACAGTCATGAGCTTCAGGTGTCCAGTCATATTTTATATCTCTAATGGGACAGAAAGATTACAATTCAGAAGATAAAACTGGTAATACATTCCCCTTGTTTACCTAGAAATGAATACATTAAAGAGTGGGTAGAACTATTTCATGCATTGCTTTGTTATCTGAAATAAAACACTTTCACAGATTCTCCTTCTAAATGTCATCTTACAATACTTAGCAGAAGCCAGGAGTGAGAAATAAACAAGAAGATAAACAAAAATAAAACTCCAAGAATGTGGCAGTAACATTCATAGATTTTTTTCAAAATCTATCAAGGATATTATAACAACGTAATGGAGGGCACAATCAGAAAACACTTATTTTCTGTTCAGTCCTGTTGGGTTTCCTATGATTCTGTAGTTTAACCGACATATTTACTGACCCTTTGGTTACTTCAAGTGGCAAGCATGAATGTTTGAGGAACTGCAGGTCACTCAATAAAATAAAGTGTATGTAGCTCTCCTCTCTTGGTCTGTCAACTTTACAAAGCCTATTTTTTGAGCCCATACATTCTTCAGAATTTGTTTCCTCACTCTTTTCAACTCTTTTGCCTTAAAATCAAAGGGTTGATGTTCACAGTATCTTGGGTTGGTTTGGCTTCTCTTCCAGAGGTTTAAAATTATTCCACCTTCTTTGGGTCCTGAGGATTGAAGAGATTTGCATTCTAACCCTATGTCAGTCCAGACATCCCATGTCAGCCACATTTTTCAAAAAAATAGGAAAGTAGAGAAATGATCTTCATATTTATTTGTGTCATGAGTTTATCTTTTCCTACCAAAGTCCTTAAGAACCAGTTTCTCCTTGCAGGACTCTTATTATAGGCTTTCTGTCTTAAGCCTGCTCACACTTACATATTTTATACTATTCTCAGTTCAATGTGTCTGCCAATTACAATGTTATTTTTTCCCCTTCAGACTTTGAAAATACTAACTGAAGACACACAGGCTAGACTATAATCTTTTACATATTTGTGTAAATATGTACATACATTTTTCCTCAAATCTGCACAAAGAAGCATCCTGCAATCATAATAAGTTTTGAACTTTTTGGTTATCAGCGTTACCAATCATCCAGTTCTGTTAACATTATTTTATGTCTATTTACATTGATTCTATATCAAGATACTAAAGTGAAATGATAAGTTTGTAGTAGAATCCTGAAGTAATATATTTGATTTGCCTTGTTTAACAAAAAGAATCTAGTTCAGAGCTGAAGTTTTAGTCCCTACTCTTGTAATATTTAGATGCATAAACTTGACATCTAAAAGCTTTACAATCTGCAGTAAAATCTGAAACTCTCTCTCCAGACTTTGAAATATCAAATATAAAATTTCAGGAGAGGCCTTAGAAGAGTTGGTTCTTCTTACCATTTTTAGAAATCAGACATTGAAGAAATCAGACTACAGACAGAAAATTTTAAACTCTCAAAACACCATGAAGATGATCCAAGCATCTCTACAATTCAGCTCTACCTTTCATTTCTTGTCAGCATGAAATTACCTTTTATGTGTGGATCTGATGGCAAAGATCCTTTGATCAACTGCACTCATTATAGGAAACATACATACGAAAGTAGAAGCAAAAAGCCAGCCTCACATGTGTTCATTCATCTGTGAATTTTATACCCCAATCACATGCATATATATTGGTATGTATGTGTGTATATAAAATATATGATAATCACAATGTAACTGTTGGACTATTCAGACAAAGTTGATTAGGGGGAGAGAATGATGGAAAGTGGAAAACATTGAAATACATTGATTCTCTACATGCAGATAGCATAGCAAATCTTTTTTAAAACTGTTGAATAATACGTAGATGTGAACTTAGAAATAGAAATCAATTGACAATTTTAATCTGCTTGAATTATTATGTATTGTGTGTGGAATATTATGATGAAAATACCACATACAATTAACATATACTAAACAATTAAAGAAGGATAAGAAAGAAAAATAGGCTCTGCTTGGGGACAGATACTAGCAGGAGTGGGGAAAGTCAATTGAGAGGGTATATGAGGGTGAAGAGGTTTGAAGAACTTTATTAATATGCATAGCAGTAGAAATATGAAATTGTTTTAGAAAAGACAGACATGATGAGAGAAGAGATGGAGGAGGTAAGTTTGATGGAGGTATATTGTATAGATGTCTAAATATGTCACAATGAAACTTTCTTTGCCCAAAGATTATAAATTAATACAAAATCATTAAATAAAATTAATGTTGAAAATAAAAAATAAGTGTCCTTCTCTCCAAATTACCCCAACTTCGTAAGTTCAAAATAGAAAGG